GTCATTACCTCTTTCCCTTTTCGTGATTTTGACGCTATGGACGCCACCGATTGAACTTGGGATCTCAAGGCGTCATTTTCTCCTTGGAGAAGAGTTATTCGTTGACGCATTTCCTCTCTTACGGCCTCTAGCTGGATTTGAGTATCCTCCTTCGACTGGTTAGCCTCCTTGGCCGCACGTAATTCTTCCCGGAGGGCTTCCAATAGTGCCGCTTCGGCACTTTTGGCCGCGCGGAGCTCCTTTCGGACAGCATCAAGCTGCGCTTGCATCTCATCAAATAGGGGATTAGAGCTTCCGGCCATCGTTGATTCTTGTTTTGCAAGAATTTCCCACAGACGGCGCCAATTGTTTAAACAAGAAATAGTTTATCCTAGAACGGAGTAAAAAATGGGAATCAAGCAATATAGAATCAACTATGGAAGAATTGGTAAAGAAAGGAATTTGATATATGATGATCAAGAAGAAGGATCTTCACAATATGCTTTTGAATTACAATGTAGAGACTGAATGTATGTGTATTCGTCACTGAATGTCCTGATTACATAGAGCCTCTAGATATTTATAAGAGATACATTTAATGCACTTTTGTCCGTTGACGACATGATCCGACCGTTACGACGACATGTCCGACCGTTACGACGACATCAATATCGTCATTATTGCATCATCAATTCTGGCCAGCCCTTTGAGTAACCTATGTCATAATTACAATAACTACTCTAATTATATACATAAAACTGTCCAGATTTAATTAGCTAGCATTAATCCCAATGAATACGTCATTGATTGCCACGGTCAACCATTTTTTAATGTAGTCAAGGCCGCCCAACTCGTGTACCAACACAATACAGAGTATGTTAATCGTTATTTTTTCTCCAATGTGTTGATTGATGTTTTTTAAATGAGCATTTTATCATTAGCTATGTCATAAAGGTAAAAGTTGTCCACGGTTTCAAAAAAACAAAAAAAGGTAAAAGTTGTCCACCAAGAAGTTGTTCTTTTTGCCTTATCTGCATGTTAGTGATATGATTTTTTTTGTAATATAAAACGTTCAATCTCTTTCATTCAATAATACTTATTTTCCCTAATAAGTTCATAATACCCTCAATAAGTTTGTTGAAAAATAAACTAACCGCTTATGTCGCTGCCCAATGTCCCAATTACCAATAGCGATCATGTAGGCTAATGTTGTTGGTGAATCAAATTTCATTAAGAGCCCGTTTGGTAGCCTTATTTTTGGCCTATCAGGCTTATCAGCCAACTTTTTCACCAAACACATAATTTTTTCTTTCGCGCTTTGAGTTGCGTAATAATAAGAAAAAGTATGGTTGGAGTTACTTTTCTGGTTGTATTGGCCGAAGTTACTGTAGAGGATCATTTTAGTTATTTTTATATATAATGTTTTCTCTATTTTTTTAATAAAATATATTTTAACTATAATTTTTAATAAATCAGCAGAATCAGCCAATTCAACCACTTCAGCCAAAATGTCATAAATTTTAGCAAAATCAGCCGATTCAACCGATTTTGGTATTAACAAACGCACTCTAATTATTATCATCTTTTTTTTAACATTCTTCTAAACCTATTGATAGCGTATTAATTCTAGAGAGAAGTGAGAGCTAGAGAGAGAAAGTGAGTAATTATATTTCTCAACCCCCCATAACTAGCCCCAAGGGGTCTATTTATAGGTAAAAATGTGGATTTGGGCTCCTAGCCATGGGCTTAGGAGGCCCATTACAATAATCATGCCTCCTTTGGGCGAAACAGGGCCACTAATGGGCTGTGTACAATACTTAGTAAATAAAGTAGAGAGATGCATTCTGCCCGTACGAAGCTGGGCCGACGCGGTACCTTTTGGCCGATGCGGTCCCATGGCCGATGCGGTCCCATGGGCCGATGCGTTCCCGGCAGTCCATGCGTGGTTCCTGGGCCGGTTTGGTTTCTGGCCGATGCGGTCCCACTGGCCGAAGGGGGCCACGTGGGTGTTCTGGTTGTCGTTGACTTGAGTATGTGGGCCATGGGGTCCGGGCCCATATACTCTATCAGGAGTCCCCCACTCTCTGAGCTGAGGCGAAGCCAAAGCGAAAGGGAGTATTTGTTCCTTCCTGGCTGGCCGTTGCGAGAGCTCGAGGCGTTTGGTGGCCGAAGAGTTTCTGCCTTGATTTTGGATGAAGCGACTTCTTCATTTGATGTAGACGTAGCGCGCTTGAGGACTCACAGCCTTGGTGCGGCCGATGCGCTCTCTGTGAAGTGTTTTGAAGATGATGCGGCGCGCTTTCTCTTTCCAGTAGATGTGAATTATGGAGCTGGCCTGTTTCATCATTATTTGTCGGGGCCGAAGAGGTCCCACATACTTTTAGCCGTGGTGGTGACATAATTTCATGAAGCGAAGATGTTTGATCTCGTTTGTGAGGTCGATGCGAGCCGCACGCTTTTGATCTGTTATGCGGCCGAAGCGCTTTGACTTGTGTATTCTTGCTTTAGTGAGCCGATGCAGTCCCCCCAATGTACGTAGTCGTTGCGCGCTGTATTTTGTATAAAATTTTTGGGGTCTGTAGCCGATGCGATCCGCAATGTCATTGAGGTGATTCGCGGCTAATTAGTGAGCCGTAGCGCACCCTTTTTGCACTTAAGGCCGTTGCGCTCCCTTTTTATGTTGTCTTCTTTCTTGTGGCCTGATATAGTCCCCCAGTCCCCCACTCCTTTGGCCGAAGAGTATTTGAGGCACAAGGGAGTCATGATGTTCTCGAGCCGATACGGTACCCATGCGTTAGTTGTGAGTCCAACCCTTAGGCGAACCTGTACAAGGTAACCCTATGGGAGAACCCTTGGACGAAGGCCGCAATACCAGGGTCATCATCAAACGATGTGCGTGTGAGTAGCCGTAGCGGTACTTGTGTTTCTTGGGGTTGATTTGGGGCCGTAGCGTGTTTGCTGATGCGGCCATTTCCTTGGTAAATTGGGCCGTAGCGAGTCTCTTATTGCGTTTGAGCGAGTAGGCCGGTGCCTACCCCTAGTTTCGGGGCCTGTTGGGCCGTAGTGGTTGCTTTAGAGTGGAATGTGAAAAGACAAGCGCTGATTGGCTTTAGGAGAGGCGCCGTTGAGGTGCCCAATTGGGGATTGCCACGTGTAGTGACCGTTGGAGGGGTACCTATAAGTACCCCCAATTCCGAAGCTATTCCCTCATTTGCCTTTTGCCTAAGTCGAATTGCTGCTGAGATTTCTAGAGAGAGAAGTGCTTCCCCGAATCTCCAGGTGTTCAAGTGTTCTTCAAAACTTCAAGGTTAGGTTCTTGTAATTGTTTCTTCATTTTTCCTTATACTTTGCTTCCTAGGGGGTTAGATCTAGTGTTCGTAGGAAAGTCACTTTGATCCGAAAAACCGCCCTTAGGAATAGGTTTAGGTGTTATGCCGTTCCCTAACGGCCGTAGCGTTCCCTCCCCCGTTGATTTGACAGCTTCTTTGGACGAGTCGGATTGGCCTTTTGACGAGGACGATACGTCCCCTGGAGTTGATCTTCGACTGATTGAAGCCTTCGAGATCGAGATGGAGAATACCGCCGACTACCGCACCTCCGTAGATGAGGAGAGAATGAGTGCCGACGCGGGAGCACATAATTCTGGTGAGGACGAGGCGACATCTAGCTCGCCTCTGAGGGGGGATGAGGCATCCTCGTCTGCCCGCATTCCTTGTCCTCCGCCGATATCGTCAGTAGCGGGGGAAGGCCCCTCGGCTCCTAAGACGAAAAAACCGTACCGGCGGAAGCATCGTAAGGGAGTACCGCAGGGGTTTTCAAAGTTAGATCTCAGCAACTTGTACATCATTCGGCCGGAGGGGACCCTTGGCGATTATCACGTTGCGCAGCTGTACGTCGGTCCCTACGGCCGTGTCAGAGCCCCCTTGCCGTCGGATCATGTTCTGAACCCGCCTTTGGGCTATTTTGGTGTCTACCCGATGAGTTTTGCCAAGGGTCTGAGATTCCCTCTTCATCCCTTCATCAAGGAGTATCTTGAGATGGTGGAGCTCCCTCCGGCCTTATTGACTCCCAACAGCTTTTCGCTCATCATCGGCTTCTTGATCCGGTGTAAAGAGTTGGAGATTCCGCCGACGACTGCCCTGTTTATGAACTTGTTCCGGATAGGCCGAGGGAGCCATCAAAATTGTGCCGGCTACGCAACCCTGCAGCAGATTAGTGGTAGGAGGTCGTTTACGGATCTCCCTACGTCCATTCATGGCTGGAAGGCCAAGTTCGTGTTCGTCACCTTGGGCCAGGGTGGCTTCTTTCCTTCCAATGGTCACAGCGGCCTCTTTGAATTGCATACCCCCCCTTGGAGTGCCGAAATAAGTAATCAAGTAGAGGCCTTTATTAAGGGGGGGCCGAGGAGCATCAAGACATACGTTACTGAGTATCGGATGGCTGCTCTCGGCTTCGTGAGATACTATTGTCCTGGTGATGTCGATGATGATCTTTGGCCGAAGATGGTGGGGTCTTATGAGCAAGCCGATGGGCCCCGTCTAGGCGTGCCGGCTGAGGCCGAAGGTTGACCTCCTTTCTTTATCTTTTCATGATGTTTCGTTTTCCTTTGCTAACCCTTGTGTATTTTTGTGCAGGCTTCGATATGGATCGCATGTCATTTATGGCTCGGGCTGCCAGGAAGGCCGATGCGGAGTTGAAAGCTGCTCAAGCTGCCGAGGCAGCAAAGAAGTCTGCGGGCGGTTCCCAAGGGGGTGTTGAGGCCGCTAAGAAGCCTGTGGCTAAGAAGAGCAGGAGGGCTGCTGATGAGGGCCAAAAGACTCTGGCCGAAGCGGGGCTAAAACTGAGCCAGGCTTCGAAGAAGACGAAGAGGGCTCCCACGAATGAAGAGGTCGGCGCCCCCTCATCTCAGGCTGTTGCGGATGTTCAGCCGTCGGCGGTCCCTCCTGTGAATGATCCCCCTTCATCGGCCGTTGTGGCCTCGGCTTCTCGAGTTGCTCCCTCTACTGCCGCTGCCGCCCGTTTGGAGGAGGCTCTTGCTAAGGGGTCGTATGAGGTCTCCGTACGATACCCTGTCAAAGGTGGTCTTTTCAACGAGACCGTCGGTGGTGATGACATGCTTGCTCAGGCTATGCCTGAGTATGATCGCCAGTATCTCGGCCGACAAGGCCAGCATGTTCGGCTGTACGACGGAGGGATGGACTATGTCGTCCAGGTAAGACATTTTCCTTAGTTATTATTTTTTTCTTTGCTTTTGTTTCTCTTCTGATTTCAAATTCCGCTTCGTCCAGGGTGCCCTAATGCTGCGGGAGCAGCACTGGAGACAGGAAGCCGAAATAGAGCGGCTAAAGAAGATGGAGGCCAAGGCTGTCTCGGCCGATGAGGCTCTCCAAGATCTGAGGGACAAGGCCAAGGCCGCGGAGGGTGAAATGAAGCTCCTTCAGCTGCGTCTTGATGAGGCCGAGTCAGCCCGGAGAAAAGCTGATGAGGCCGTTGCCGTTGCCGTCCAAAGAGCCGAGGAGGCGGAGCGGCTCAAAGCCGAAGCGGAGGGGGCTGCTGAGAAGGCCGTAGCCGACTTCAAGGCTGAGGGGTGGAAAGCCGAGGACCAGCTCCCCTTCTGCTATGAGGTGGTTGCTGAGAGGTTGAATGATTGGACGACGAAGGACCCCGCCGGCCAAGAATTCTGGATGAACGAGATGCAAGCTTTCTACGACTGTGGTCAGTACAGAATGCAGAAGCTGATCTACAGGAAGCTTCGTCGTCGCTTCCGGAAGATGAGGCCGAGGGGTCTGAGTCTCCCTCGGCGAATGAAGAATCCTGACGAGGATTTGAAGCTCCCCCTGTTAGAGAGGCAGCCCCCGATCCTAAGCTCGTCTGAAGGGGAAGAGCCGTGGAGTGATAGTGACGACTATTTGCTCGAAGGGCCTGCCGACTCCCAAGCCGATGAGGGTGGAGGTGATTATGATGCCGATGACGGCCACGGCGACGGTGCTGTTGATGGTGGAGTGCCAGCTAATGTTGTAGCTTAGTATTTTCTTGTATTAGTTTTTGTAGCCATAGCACTGAAGTGCATGTAATGGCCGAAGCGCCCACCTCTTGTATCTTTTCATCCATTAATGATAAATCTTTGTCACCATGATTCCCTCGTCGTCTTTGTAGTTAAGTATGTTTGCTCTTGTAAAATTTTCTAAGTGTCGAGGCTGTGTCTCGAGGTCGTTGGCGTCCCTTGATTGAGACGTAGCGATTTTCTCGCCTTTACTGTCCTTGGGGACGATGCGTCTCCTCGTCCCTTAGTGACTTTTTATTTTTCTCTTGGCAAATCTTGTCCACGTCTCAAGTTTTGGGGCTTAGTCTTGAAGTGCTGAGGACGAAGCGATACCCAGTGGTGGTGCAACGTTGCCTTAGTGAGACTCAGTTTGAAGCTGTGGAATGTAGTTTTATGGAGACGACGCGGCCCGTCGTCCGAACCGTGAAATGTGGTCTCGTATAATCGAAACCAAGGCGATTTCCTATTATGAAGCTGTGGTTGAGGCCGAAGCGTGTGCCTCGGATTCCTGTATGGTGAAGACCTGATATGTACTTAGCCGATTTTGAGGCTTGGCTTTTGGGGACTTTATTTTTTGAGGCGTGTGCGCGGTCCGTCGGCTTCCCCTCTTCTTTTTTTTTTTTTGTTTTTTTTTTGTTTTTGGGTGGCCGAAGGGTTACTGTCCCTTCGTCCATGTGCGGTAGTTTGTCCGCTACGCTTTTTGCGTGAATCAGTGCGAGGGAGTAAATACGCCCTCGGCTTGGTGTGTCAGTGGCATCTTTTTTGGCCTTTCCACGTCTATCGTCGACGAGGGACCGGGCTAGGCATCGTCTTTTGACGGCCGCCCTTTGTGGTCCTGAGCGAAATTTTACTGACGGGTGGAGTTTTTGTAACCTCAGCCTTAATTCAGGCCTGTCGTCCTGCGGTTTCTGCGCGGACGACGCGGTATGCTTCTCCGTTTGAAGACGTTGGACCATGCACACAGGTCCTTCGTCCTGCATATCGCCGGCCGATTTGGGTGTTTCACCGCTTGTGCCGATACGATATTTAGGTGCGTTGTCTATGCAACGGCTTTGTAGGCGCGCTGTGGATCGCAACGGCCTTAGGTGCGTTGTTTATTGCAACGGCTTTAGGTGCGTCGTTTATTGCGACGGCTTTAGGTGCGTCGTTTATTGCGACGGCTTTAGGTGCGTTGTTTATTGCAACGGCTTTAGGTGCGTTGTTTATTGCAACGGCTTTAGGTGCGTTATTTATTGTAACGACTTTAGGTCGCATCGGTCCCGGGTGATTGCACCGCTTAGGCCGATGCGGTCCTTAGGTTTCCCTTTGCTCAAATCTTAAGAGATTGGATGAAACATGAATTTTATTCAATAAGTGGCGCTAGGCCGAGGGTGTTTTATTCAACCAACACGCCGAGGGGTGGGGGACGTTGCCCGCTTCACCACTTCTCGAATTATTGGTAAAATTTCACCAAATGGTGTACATTCCACAGTCGTGGTACATCTGACCCATTAGGGTTCTTTAGTTTATAAGTGCCGGCTTTGATGACGGCGCTGATGATGTAGGGCCCTTCATATTTGACGGCGAGCTTTCCCCCTTCCGTCGGCCTGCTTGCTTCCCTTCGGCGGAGGACGTAGTCCCCCACCTGGAATTCGCGAGAGCGGACCTTGGCGTCGTAGTAGGATTTGACTTGTCGTCTGTAGTTCTCCGCTCTGAGGTAGGCCATTTCTCGTCTCTCGTCGATGAGGTGTAGGTCCACCTTCATTGTTTCTTCATTGGCCTCGGGGTCGTATTGTGTGACCCGTCGGCTGGGAAGCGTCACCTCAGTGGGAGCCTTGGCTTCGAAGCCGTAGCACAAGGAGAATGGTGTCTCCCCGGTGGCCCTCCTCGGCGTAGTGCGGTAGGACCATAGGACGTTGGGGAGCTCGTCGACCCAACTTCCGCCTTCTTCTTCGAGCTTCTTCTTTAGCCCCTCCAAGATGGTTCTGTTGGCGTTCTCAACTTGCCCGTTGGCCTGAGGGTAGGCGACGGAGGAGAAACGGTGCTTGATACCCCATTCTTGGAGGAGGCTTTGGAACGGTTCGGCCTCAAACTGGGTGCCGTTGTCTGATATGATTTCCTGAGGCACGCCGAAGCGGGTGAGAATGTTTTTGTAGACGAACTTTCGACACCGTGCTCCGGTGATGCTTGCGAGTGGTTCGGCTTCGACCCATTTGGTGAAGTAGTCGATGGCGACGATGATGTATCTGTTGTTGCCCGCTGCTCTTGGTAGTGGGCCGACGAGGTCGATGCCCCATCTGGAGAATGGGATGGCAGTGCTGACCGGGGCGTAGTTGACGGCCGGTCGGCCAGGTGCTCTTTGATAGTGTTGGCATGCGCTGCATTTGCGGGCGACTTCAGCACAATCGCGTGCCATCGTCGGCCAAAAGTAGCCCTGGACAACGAGGCGGCGCGACATGCTGAAGGGTCCCTGGTGTGATGAGCATACACCGCAGTGGACTTCTTCCATGGCCACTTCGGCCTCGTTCTGGTGTAGGCACCGGAGGAGGGTGCCATTGTATGATCTTTTGTAAAGCTTGTCATCCTCAATGACATAGCTAGGGGCCCTGAGCTTGGCTAGTTTGGCCCTCTCCTCGTCTTCTGGTAGCGTGCCGGAGGTGATGTAGGTTGTGATGTCAGTGATCCAGTCCTCCGGCTGGTGTTGGATGGAGAGTATAGGGCTAGCATGAATGCTTGACATGCTCAACTCCTCCACCTTTGCTATCTTGGAGATGTGCTCGGGGGTGTCGGAGCTGAGTTTGGAGAGTATGTCGGCCTCGGCGTTCTCCGCCCTTGGGATCTGGGTGATCTCGTAGGTATCGAACGCCTTGAGCAATTCCGCAGCGGCCTCCTTGTACTGCTTCATCCTCCCTTCTTTAGCCTCGTAGGAACCCTCCATTTGGTTTACTACGAGTTTGGAGTCGCATTTGATTTTGACGTGGCGTGCTTTGAGGCCAGCGGCTAGTCTGAGTCCGCTGAGGAGCGCTTCATATTCGGCCTCATTGTTGGATACTTTGAAGTTGAAGCGGATGGCGTAGTACGCTCTGAATCCTTCCGGGGAGATGAGGACGACGCCACCTCCACAAGCTTTGGTGGCCGAGGACCCGTCCGTGTAGAGGGTCCAGACTTCGTCCGGTCCAGCTCCTGTGGTGGTAACGGCCGTCTCCCTTGCCGTGCACTCGGTGACGAAGTCAGCTAAGGCTTGCCCTTTGATGGATGGCCTCGGCTTGATCTCAATTTGGTACTGGCTTAGGAATATCGCCCATTTGATCATCCTTGGAGAGCTGGTTGGGCTCCTCATGAGGGCGCCCAACGGCTGATGCGTGAGGACGTGGACGGGGTGAGCCTGGAAGTAGTGCCCAAGTTTTTTCACGGTGTGGACGATGGCCAGCACCGTCTTCTCAATGGGGGAGTACCTAAGTTCGGCCTCCCGTAACGTCTTGCTGACGTAGAATATAGCTTTTTGTACTCCGTCATCCTCCCTGATTAGGACGGAGCTGACGGCCGACGTGCTCACTCCTAAGTAAAGGAAGAGAGTCTCGCCGGGCTGGGGCTTGGATAGGACGGGTGGGGAGGCGAGATATTGCTTCAGCTCTTCAAAGGCTTGTTGGCACTCTGTCGTCCACTTGAAGCTGGTGGCTTTCCTCATTATCTGGAAGAAAGGGAGCGATTTCTCCGCGGATTTTGAAAGGAAACGGTTCAAGGCCGCAAGGCGTCCCGTCAGCCGTTGTACTTCTTTGATATTGCGGGGCGGCTCCATGTTGATAATGGCTTGTATCTTCTCCGGGTTGACTTCGATGCCCCTTCGGCTGACCAGGTACCCCAGGAATTTACCTCCCTGGACGCCGAAAGTGCACTTCTTTGGGTTGAGCCGGAGGTTGTATCTCTTCATGATCTCGAAAATGCCCCGGAGGTCGTCGGCATGAGTTGTGGATTGTTTGCTTTTGACGATCATATCGTCGACGTATGCTTCCATCGTCTGACCTAAGACTGCTCTAAAAATCCGGGCTACCATCCTTGTGTAGGTGGCGCCGGAGTTCTTGAGCCCAAAGGCCATGACGAGGTAGCAAAAAATTCCCTCCGGGGTCATGAAAGCAGTCTTCTCCGCGTCATCTTCGTGCATGGATATCTGGTGGTACCCTCTGAACGCGTCGAGGAACGACATCAACTCGCACCCCGCCGTCTCATCCACCAACTGATCAATGTTGGGGAGAGGGAATGGGTCCATTGGGCACGCTTTGTTCAAGTCAGTGTAATCAACACACATTCTGAACGTAGGCGGCTTTGGGGCGAGGACGACGTTCGCCAACCACGTGGGGTACTTCACCTCTCTGATGTGCTTGATGCTGAGCAGCATGGCCACCTCGGCCTTGACAAATTCCCTCCTGTCGGCTGAGAGGTAGCGCTTCTTCTGTTTGATGGGGGAGGAGGCCGGGTTCACCGATAGCCGATGTG